TGCGTGCGTGCGTGCGTGCGTGCATGCGTGTGTGTGTCGCCATAATTGATCCGCTATTAATGGTCGCAGGGATTATAATCGTCTATCGATAGACTCTAAAGGCAAACTTCTCCGTTACGATTGAGCTAATTTAAATCTTTTTCGAAATTTGCAATACTTGTACGAAATTTCTTCAAAATGTCTTTTTCTTTCTTTATTTTTTGCCGAGTGACAATCGAAATGTCGACGTATCAGGAAAATATGACATTATGCAATTTAAATTTGTTTTAATTTTACATAATTTTGTTTTCTGAATTCTTATTTTTATCTTACTTAAAAATTTTACAAATATTTCTCCTTATTCGTCACATTTCGATCATTGAAAAAGCCTGTATTTCAAGATGGAAGTATTATTTTATTTCTACACAATGATCTATATATAGATATATTTGTTTCAGTTCACAATGCGCTAGGGGTGATGGAGACAGTGGGCAAGCAAGTTCAGGTAGTGAGTGGACTGGGGGTGGGGGGTCCGGTGGGCCCTGTGGGCCCAGTGGGGGGAGATCTGCATCACCATCATCATCCACACCCGCACGCCCTTCCTCCGCACCCACACTCCCACCCCCACGGTCACCCCCATGGCTCCCACGGCCACTCGCTCGCGACGTCGAACCCCGGCAGAGGTCAGCCTCAACCACCGACCTCGCATAACCAGCACGTACCTGCGAGATCCACTCCCGTACAGCTGCATAGGTAAGTCTCGTTTTTCTTCTCTTATGCACATAAACTGGACTCTGAAGTCGTCGATCTCAAAACCTTTTAAACCTTTAAACCTGTAAAGGTAAAATATTTCACTGATGCGGCAGAAATGGTGAAAGATTGTCCGAAAAATTATCTGGTAAATATTTTCGAAGCCATTAAAGAAGCGAACCGAAAGGTCTCGTGTGTTTCTGTTCTTTCAGTAATATGGTTACTACAAATAGCTATGCGCCTAAAATCACAGTTCTTTCTTTTTTTAGCACTATAATTTTATCATATTAAAAAATTATTTCATTTATATTGTTTCATATAATATTCCCTCTTCTATTTTTATTCAGTTTTTTAAAAGGGACTCTTTTAGAAATATATCAAGAATGTTGTATAAATCTCTGTTGTTTCTACCGAATTTCTGAAAGCGAAGTGTTAATTGTTGTTCACACATGAGTCATACGCGGCGAATTTGTATTTTAAGAAAGAAAGTCCGACATCACAGTAATGATCAGGAACGTGCGTGAATGAGAGAAGAGGAAAATGGAGGAGGGAGAACTTGAAAGAACTTGTGGAGATAGCAATAAGGTATCCGTGTGAGATGGTCTGTGTTTGGGTAGAGTTCTGGTCTTTGAGAATAAAATTCGAAAATACACGCTTTTCAAAGATCCAACTCGAAGCCAAGACGGACTTGGATCTGCCAGTATATCTGCTGTGAAAAACTAGCCTCGCATCTCCGGGAATGAATTGTGCGAGGTTTATTGGGAACAACAAATACATTTCTATACATTTTTATAAACATTTTTATGCATTCACGATTTCTTGAGTAACGTTGCCATCGTAATTATGATACGAGATTTAAAAATGTTTCCCTGACTTCTCTTTTGATTGCGGAAATATAGACTCTATTAAGATAAGTAGCGACAGACGTAAAAATCGACGTTACGTAGTAGTCGTGCTAGTTATCTCGAAGCAAACATTATCACGGTTTCAATCGCGCCTTTTATACTCGGAGATTATCAGCTCTATTATCATGAGAAAAATCAACGATTATACAAAATTCTTGAAACGCATATCCAAAGATCAATTTATATGTTTTTTTATTCGACGGATTAATATTGTAGAATTGAAGAAAGAAGAATAATTGTACGTATATGTTAATTGTGAATTAAGGATAAGAATAAAAAGTTTTGAAATAATAATAATAGATCTAGTAAGTCATAATTAAAATTCAAAATCGTGATATAATAATAATAAATTACGCGAATTTCGCAAATATTCCCACTGACAAATGTGTTTTATTTTGATACATAGCGGTAAAAATCGATTGCGCCAGTTATTATTCAGAAGCATCTCAATAATCTCGATTGTGCGGTCTTGCAGACAGGACTTTAGTAAGTGACAAATTTCAAAAGGTTTTTACAGACGCGGCTATGTGAAGCAATAACGATTGCTTTAATGTTTAGAATTGGCTAATCTTAAAACGATGCGGAATTACTTGGTTGCGTGCATTTTAAAATAACTGTACTTTCTACTGAAATAGTTTCAGAATTTTATTTATACCTATTAATACATAAAAAAATTTTTATTCTTATTGGAAAATTTCGCTTTAAAATGTCCAGATATTGTTTGCGAAACTATTGGATTCGTAATATTACTTCATAACCAGGAGGAGATATTATTATAGCGGATATATAAGTTTTTACTCATATAAGCTTCAGCTTTAACTTAAGCTTCTTATTATATAAGCTTACGACTTGATAGAAGTTATTTCTATGGTCTCTTTATAAATTTATTAACAATGAGTTGGAATTAAATCGAAAAGTACTCTTTAATGATCAAATTGACGTGAAGTATCATATATTTTTGTTTTGTCCCTTCAACATCAAGATTTTTTATGAAAGTCGCAGTTGTATAAAATTCTGTGAAAACAATACAAAACTTTTTAACAATGTAGCGCCTAGTATACTGAATACCAGAAATAATATCAGAAATACGCGCGATACTTTTGTCCTCGTTACTCGTTATGCCTGTGGGATGTTTATGAATAAAGATATGAGATCATTATGACCTTCCTACACTGTGTCTTGTACCGTACAAAGACGCACGATGGCGAACGGATGCTTTGAAAATAAGAGAATGTTGCAACGTGATGCGACTATAGTCTTTTTTTTTTTCCCCTGGGTACATAGCACATGCTTCTACGTATATATGTCCCGATATCACTGTGTATATTAGCATTTGTAGTTGACATGGTGATGTTAGATCATGTCTTTGAGTAAAAAGAAAAAAAAAATGTTAATTAGGAACAGCAGACGCTTGGACGTAATAGTCTGTTCGATGATAAATAACGCATTTACATTTCTTGTAAATAAGTTTTTACGGTGGCTGCGGAAGCAGTCTTTTATGCGGAGTAATCAATAAAATATTTCGTCAATGTGCTTGAAAGTGACAGCATTATTTATTCGATGACTCAGTTAACACACAGTGATACACATAGCAGCACATGCAGTTTTAGATACGCAGTATTATTTATATATTTCAAAAGAGAAATTATACATATTTATATAAATAAATGTAGGTATATGTTTTTATAAGATAATTCTTATCGGCATTATTCACATCAGTTTTATTCAAAACGTTTATTCAAATTGTTCATTAGAAAATGTGACGTTCTCGATAGGATTGTGGCTGAATTTCATCAATATCACACCTTTTTACTTACGTTTATCGACTTTCGATTTATCAAGATAATCCACATTAGAGTATATTTTTTCGTATTTATAATATAACTGTAGACAGACTACTGGGAAAGGTGAGATATTTTTACTTGAGACAACGCAATCTGCGCGCGGAAGTTCTAGCTGTGGTTATATAAGTGTCGCGCGGCTTAGAATATACTTTATGTACGAACCGCGAGCCTCTTGGCTCCATTTGCATCGTATTTTAAGCCTATTACATTGCGAAGAATGCACGACGGGGAATTCACGAGTGTACAATATGGGATCACCAAGTTCGAAGGGACGAAGGCTGCAAAATTAGATATAGAAGCGGTTTATTTATTTCTCTTAAGTAACACAGAGTTCGTGAGAGACAAATACTCTCGCTTTTATTATAACGCGCAAATATACAGTATTATCGACTTTAATGGGAGTGTTGAGACCGAGTTTATAAGCCGAGAATCATAAGCCAGAAATTAAAGGGTTCGTACAGCATGCTTACATTTATTAATTAAAAATAATTGTTTTAGTAAAGTTTATTAAGAGTATTTATCAAAAAATAATTATTGTGTAAGAAAGTGTTAGAGATAATTTTCCGATTGTCCTAATTTATAACGCTTTTGAAGTTGTTTTTTTACAATTATTAAGTTTATGATTTGTTTTACGATAAAAAATCCAATATCTTGTATCTGAATGAATCATATTAATTAGAGGTAATGATTAGATAAAAATTCTGAGCGATGCGTCGACAAAATATTCGTTACATAAAGATGCATTATATGATTAATGTATCTTTCTCGGTTCAACACAGGATGTTCAATCACCGCCGTATCAATTATTTATAACAAAAATCCGTTAATTCGGATTCAATTTTTCCGTAAATAATTATCGTAAAATCACTACGTAGATTCTTCAAAATGTATTTCTACTCTCGATAATTTTTTAATTTTTGAACAAGAAAAGATTGTATCGTTATATTTGTTTTATTTTACATCGATGTACATAAAATTAGTTAGCTAATTACGATATCATTCAGTGTCAGAGTTGAAAAAAATTTTTTTACGCGCATATATCTTTTCATGAACTAAATTTATCCAGTCTATGAACACGAGGTGTCATTGTAAACTTGATGCAGCTGCCTCAAAAGTACAAAGTCTTCGAAACTATGTTCCATCACATCTGTTAGTCATCACGCAGATGCACTTGTATATGTACTCCACCCACGTTTACCTGCCTCTTCCTCCACGGATCGGCCTCTTAAAATCTGTGACATATATAAAAGAAGTACGAAATTTGGAATCGAATCCATTTTGTATGTAGCATTTTTCCGAAGGACGAAGAGAACTCGCAGGAAATTTTTTTCTCAAACGATCCATCGTTGCCATATTTACGAGCGTGATTTAGCATTTACGAGTATCCGATTGAAAATTTTATAATATTAATTAAATTTCTACATGAAGAATCCCTCCTCCTTCGCACGAGCTCTTTTTTATCGCTTCGTTAAAACATCGATATGTTTTTTCGACTCTCTAGGTTCCGATTCGATTGTATATTCGAAAAAAAAAGAGGCATGACTTGCGGCGATTTGCGAGATATGTACGACGACTCAGTGATGCATATTTTTGAGTCCGACGAGATACTACGTCCGTCCTTCTCGGATAACGCATTCGGTAGCTTTCGAACGCAACGAACGCGAGCAAGACAGCGACTGAGAATCTCACTGTCGTACTAAGCCGAGCCGAGCCGAGCCGAGCCGAGCCGAGCCGAGCCGAATGCGGCGTGCCTGGACCACTGGACCCAAATGTGCATCACTGATACGACCTCGAAATTCGTGAGACTCGAATAGAGAGACGAGACGGATTGTGCAGATGTGTAATCAGTGATGAATCAAGATTGATCTTGCGAAGTTGACCTTCCAACGTTTAGTTGGGATGTTTTTTTAATTCTATTTAAAATTACGTGTATATAAGATAATTTATTTTCCATTTTAATTTTATAGATACATTGAAAAAAATTTCTGGTTGAAAATGGACGAATCAGAATTTTCTGGTTAAATTTATTAGAATTCTAATTGAGATAATCGGAATTCTGGTTGATACAATACAATATTTCTGATAAAATCTAGTAGAATTCTAGTTGAGGAGATATAATTATTCTGATAAAAATAAGAATTCTAGTAGATTAAATAGTAGACTTCACTAAAAGAATTTGATTCATCCATTTTCCATTAGAATTATTATTTAAAATCCAACAAGACCTTTTTTCTCAGTAAATCCTTTTTAATTT